CCTGTCAGCTTGCACTTGGCGTACTTCCCTTGTTTGTTATTCCCTTGGTCCTGATAGGTATTTGAAATTTCAAGCTCTGGTTTAGACAGTCTCTCTTTTTCTTTTTGTGGAAGTAAATGTTAAAAAGGCGGGGTGTGGGGGGTGCTTCTGCTGTACTGTCAGAATCATAGAGAATTAGAAATTTAAAAAATAGTATTGATGATGATTTAACATGTTACCACCTCTTCTTGCTAATGGTCTTTATTGAAGGGGAGTGTTAAGAACCTGGAAGCAAGGTTTGTGTCCGGCAATTTAAGGTTACCAAGCGTTACAGATGTGGACAGATTAAAAAAAAAAAAAAAATGCAACATTGGTCCCATAGGATATTCTCATGTGAACAGATGGCTCCATGATCAAATCAGTTTGAGCAACGGATTAAACAAAGTTAAATAAGATTCCTTATGGTAGGACTTCCTAGAGTTGTTACTTAATAACATTAATTGGTGATTCTCCAGGTGGGAGATATGAATCCACAATTTCATTACTATTATTTTAAAACCACAGAACACCCTTTTTCCCCCAGAACATCTCATACTGACTAGTATTTGCAGAAGACATTTTGGGAAAGTCCTGTCTGCTGTCAATATGGACTCTTGTAATGGATAAAAAACCAAACCTATAGCCATTGAGTTGATTCCGACTCATAGCGACCCTATAGTTCTACCCAGAAGAGAACTGCCCCATAGAGTTTCCAAGGCTGTAATCCTACAGAGAGGCTAGGTGGGTTTGAACCACCAATCTTCCAGTTACCAGCCGAACGCTTAAGCAATGGGCCACCAAGGCTCCTTTGGTGATGGATAGCACACCAGTATTAGTTTAGGTGTGGTTGACAGTGAAAGGAAATCCAAAAATAACAGCAGCTTAAACAATGTAGAAGTTAACTTCTCTGAGATTGTCTTGATTACCCAAAGATAAATCAGTCAGGGCTGTTATGCTACTCTTCCATTTTACTCCTTTTCTATCCCCAGCAAATGACTTCCATCCTCACTTCTTGAGTTCCATCTGCCATCTTATCTATATTTCAGCCACAAAGAAGGAGGAAGGGACAAGGAGGAGAATGTCTTCTCTCTTTAAGAGTATTTCCCAAAATTTGAAGACAGCATTTTCAGGTACATCTCATTAGCTGCAGTGAAGGCTAGGAGTTATAAAAACTGGGCATTCTGTTACTGCTAAGGTAGAAATGGAGAACAGATATTTGGGGGACAATGGCAGTCTCTAGTCTATGACATGTAATAAAATGATCCCTTAATTTATCATGGTTATGGATCCTTCCTAGTCTCTTTCATAACGTTAATAGAAAGCCACAATGCTCTCAATTCAATGATATCAAAACCAACAAGATCATTGGAGAATGCTCCTCATTCTATATTTGATATTGACTAGCAATTATAGAAAAGTAAAAAAGACTGCTTAAATCCTTGAAGGAAGCAGACGTAACACCACTACATAAGGTTGCTTTTCTCACACATTAGGAGTCTATGTAAAGCATCACGCTACCGACCGTGCCATAGGGTTTCCAAGGAGCGGTTGATGGATTCAGACTGCTGACCATTTGGTTAGCAGCCAAGCTCTTAACCACTGTGCGACCAGGGCTCCTTTTTATGTGTTTTGCATTTAAATACACACAGATGCCAACGCTACTGACCTAGAAGGACTGCCTTGTGTTTTGAAGACAAATGATTTTCATTTTCAAGACACTGTTTTATTGAAAATTTTTACTTTTTAAAATGAATCTAAATGTAGATTACTACTTTGTTGTTGTGTGCTGTTGAGCTGATTTTGACTCAGAGTGACCCCATATGACAGAGTAAAATTGCCCCATAGGGTTTTTTAAACTTGTAATCTTTACAGGAGCAGATTGCCAGGTTTTTCTCCTTTAGAGCAGCTGGGTGGGTTCGAACCGCCAACATTTTGGTTACCAGCTAAGACCACCAGGCTCCTTAGATTACTATTACACCCGTTGCCGTTAAGTCCATTCCGAGTCATAGCAACCCTGCAGGACAGAGTTGAACTGCTCCATAGGGTTTGCAAGGAGTAGCTGGTGGATTCAAACTGCCAACCTTTTTGTTAGCAGCTGGGCTCTTAACCACTGCGCCACCAGGGCTCTGGATTACTACCAGTATCCATAAAAAACAAAGTATTGAAAAAAATAGGCCTTCCATTTGCAGGGCTGTCTGATCCAGCTGTTTACACAAGTGTGAATATTCCCCACTTTGAATTAACTCAACACACATAAGGGTAAAATCCAACCTTGATGGGTCAAATACTGAATTCAGGATACAAAAATTTTAATTGAAAAACAGGCAGTAAAAGTGTTTGTGATTTCAAATGAGTGTCTTACCTTTCCCATGATCAAACATATAGTCAGCAATTGATTATCTGATTCCTGGGGGAGAGAATAAAAATTAAAGCCCAGAGGTAACATTTACGGCAGCTAAAACTACAAATTCACGGTCAGCATTGGCTGGGCTTAGACTTTACTTCCTGTGGGATTACTGTTTCACGATGGTGACAGGTGATAAATGCTGAAGGGACAGGAACATCAAAGTTGATGGCAAAGAAAAAGTAAAACAAATGGCTTGGGTAATCAGACAAAACCTTTAAGAAAAAGGATAAGTGTGGAGTTGGGAAAACTGAACTGTTAAATACTTTGAGACCTCTTTGTAAACACAAACTACTGTTTAAACAGGAACTAGCTAATAATCAAAATAGTATTTCCAAGAACATAGGAGTCCCTGCGTGGTGCAAAAGTTAACACGTTCACTGCTAACTGAAAGGTTGGTAGTTCAAGTCCAGCCAGAGGCACCTAGAAAGAAAGGCCTGGTGATTTACTTCTGAAAAATCAGCCATTGAAAACCCTATGGAGCACACTTCTCCTCTGACACACGTTGTGTCTCCATGAGTGAGAATCATTTCAAAGACAAGAACTTGAAAAGTGGAAGACTGAGATAGATGGTTAGACATAAGGTACGGGGAGGTGCAGAGTGGGGACTTTCAAGTACTGAGGTCTCTTCCTGATGTGTGTCTTATAACAAGTCAATACAGAAGAACCCAAAAACCAGGAGAGAGAGCAGCTTGCTCACCAAAGTAGAATCTGGACAGATTTGTACGTGCACCTGCTGGAACACCTGATCTCCACTTTGATCTGGGGACAATGTACATGTTCCTTAAACAACTGACATTTCATTAAAACACCAGGTAGAAGTTAGGTGCTTTTCACTTTGGAAATAGATACTCTTTGATTCTATTCGCTCCCCAAACTGACGTGTGGGCTGCAAACTTTTTTGCCAAGGGCTTGGTGGAAAGCACAGCTAAAGCCCATATAATCATGACACGGCACTGCCTCCATTTGCTGTAAGCAAACAGCCAGTTCCTTTATTACCCTTGAAACCAGCCCTCGTGACACAGATTGGACTAGAGAAGCAAGTGAAATGCCAAGTTTCTGGGTCAGAGTTCCTTCAAGCACTGTATGTTAATCAAAAGCTCAACCTTAGTGAATTAGGCCAGTGAGCTGAGAAGAACTTTGGAACTAGTGATTACTGATTCGACTGCAGGGGTTAGCAGAACTCTGAGCAACTGTCCGTGTATGAAGTCGGTATTTTCTTACCCCGAGTTAAGTTGCAGACTTGTGGTCTTTCTTGGACGGAACAGGAGCAAGGCTTTTGTCACCACTGGGAGCTTCTGATGTCACAGTTGTATTTGTTCTTTGTGGAGTAGTAGTATAAAGCCTGCTGAATACAATCTACTTAATCAAATGCATGTATTTAAAACAAAGCTGAATAAATATGATATATTATTTATACATGGGAAAAAAAAGGGTGGTGCAAGTGGATTGCACTTAAACTGCTTCCATAAAGATTGTTTTTGTTAGTTGCCTTTGAGTCAAATCTAACTCCTGTATGCAGAGTAGAACTGCTCTATGGGGTTTTCAATGCTGTAACTTTCTGGAAGCCGATCGCCAGGCCTGTCTTCCGAGGTGCCTCTAGGTGGGTTTGAACCGCCTGCCATTTGGCTAGTGGTTGAGCACCTAACCAATCCCTATAGAGCAGATCTACTCTGTAACGCATGGAGTCACTATAAATCGGAATCGACTGGACAGCAACAAGTTTGGTTGTGGTTCTTATGAGAAGAAAAGCCAACTATAAAGAGCTCCCAACGTTGAAAATCATTGAAAACAACCAAAGCTCTTAGTGCTTTAAATGATTTTGTGTGTATGGAGATTTACCAGTAAAAAACACAATTTAATGCGCTTCTGCAGAAAGAATTTTAAATGAATGCAGTAATCTCTGTGCCAGGCCCTAAGGGCTCACACATCTGTCATACTGTTTGTTGTCATGATGTCCCTAACAGGTGGGAGTATTAGGTCCATATCAGATGAGGAAAAGGAGTCTCAGAGAGGTTGAGTGAAGTTGCCCAAGGTCACCCAGCTAGCAAGTGGTGGAGCTGAGCTTCAAGCGCCTGTTAAAACCTGGGTTTAGACATTTCCCCCTTCTCTTTCCTTGTCAGTGGGGTTTTTTACCCTGAATGTTCTCTAGCTAATACGAACCTGAATAGTCTTACAGAATTGGCAAAAGGAAGTGGCCTATTGTGTCCATGTATATGTGAGCCAGTGGAAATTTCCTAGCCCTGGTGGTGCAGATGTTAAGAGCTACAGCTGCTAACTAAAAGGTTGGCAGTTGGAATCCACCAGCTGCTCCTTGGAAACCCTATGGGGCAGTTCTACTCTGTCTATAGGGTTGCTATGAGTCAGAATTGACTAGACAGCAATGAGTTTGGTCTGCTTTTTGGTCCAGTTATATAGCTTTCCTACAACTCCGAGCACACACAAAGGTGTGTGATAATAAGAACACGCTGTATTTCTCCTTCCCGCCCCCACCCCTCCATTCCATTGAGCGGTCATTAAATGTGTACTCCTCATTACCTGTCTCTGGGTCAGTAATGTTATCTTTTCCATTTCACAGTTCAGGTAGCAGAGGTATTAGAAGGACAGTGTGCGCCAGGTCACCCCACGGACCAGCGATTCCTTGGCTCACTGAGGAGTTTGGTAAGTTGAGCCTGCTTTTTCTTCACTGTGCCTCAAATGAACATAGTCCAGGGGTGGAAAAAAGCAGATGAACATTACATAGTGACATCCAAATACTAATCCCTTCCTTTTTATTTTTTTTTAAATCAACATATACTGTTTTCTTAATTTTCTAGGCCACAGTGCCCTGTATTTCAGTAAGCATGAATGTCTCCAGAAAAGTCCCTCGGTCAAAAAGAATTGCAAAAGCTGTATTTGAATGATTTCTCTAAAACTCTTTTAATACGGGTTATCATGAAAATATCTTGTGGGGAATTTTTTGTATAGTGTTCACTGAATGTCAGTAATTTTTCCCCCCGACAATTTAACATCTCTGAAACTGGAATGTGTCTTATAATCAATGGAATCTTAGATTTGGTGAAATATAGCATTTTTCTGATAATCCCAAAATGACCACCAGTAAGTGGTCCCTCCCTCCTATTTCACAGGGTACAAGTGCATTTTCTTAGGGTAGTGAATGAATATTTTCCTCCTGTGAGAAAGATGTGGCAGTCTGCTTTTGTAAAGATTTGCAGCCTTGGAAAACCCTACAAGGCAATTCTACTCTGTCCTATAGGGTCACTATGAGTCGTAATTGACCCAACAGCAGTGGGTTTTTGGGGACAAAGAGCCATTCTTCAAATCAATAAGAACTCTGTGCATACCAAGGAAAGAATTGAGGTTTTTAATTTTGTAAAACAACAAAAAACCCAGACTAGTTTTTTTGGTGACTTTGTACGGTGGTCTCGAGATTAGTACCCCTGGGGCCCTTGTAATCAATGGATGCTGGCACCCAGAATAGCCTGTGTGAGAGAATGGAGCTCCTTCCCAGGTAAGGGATCCCAGGATCAGACATTTTTATCTAGTTTTCCTCCAGAATCGGCTTAGTAGGAGTCTGTGACTCAGTTCCTACAAGCTCTGCCCCAGAACGGTTTGTCAGCATCCGTTTATCTATGAGTGAGTCCAAATCCACATTCCTTTTAAATGCATGGGAAAATAGCATCTTTAAAGTTAATGTCATGAATGGACTTGATTCCCCAACTTACGTGGGCCTGAATTATACAGACTTTAAAATTTGTAGAAGAAGCCCCGGTGGCTCAATGGTTAAGTGCTCAGCTGCTAACAGAAGGGTTGGCAGTTCAAACCTAGCAGCTCCATGGGAGAAAGAGCTGGAGATGTTCTTCCGTAAAGACTACAGCCTAAAAAATCTCGTGGGGCAGACTCTGCCACATGGGGTCACTATGAGTCAGAATGGACTTCATGGAACCCAACAACAACGAGATTTGTAGAATGTCTATGTTATGGGGCCTTGTGGGTGGTAGATCCTGAAATTGGTGAGGTTACAGGTAAATCAGTTAACAAACATTTTCTGAGCACCTACTATGTGTCAGACTCTGTATGAAATGCTGGATAATTAAGAGGTAATTAAGACAAGAGATTTCTGCCCCCATGGAGCTGATCCAGTAGTTAAGGCAGACATTAAATAAGAAGTGAAAAGGATGAGTGGGCTGAAGAACTGAAAGGAGTTAAAAACAACAACAACGAAAAGGAACAATTGCCATGGAGTTGATTCCGACTCATGGCAACCCCATGTGTATCAGAATAGAACTGTATTCCATAAGATTTTCTATGGTTGATCACCAGGGCTTTCTTCTGAGATGCCTCTGGGTGATTCCAACCATCAACCTTTTGGTTAGCAGCCGAGTGCATTAACCGTTTGCACCACCCAGGGACTCCAAAAGTTAAAAAACCAAAACCATTGCCTTCGAGTTGATTCTGACTCATAGTGACCCTATAGAAAAGAGTAGAACTACCCCATAGAGTTTTCAAGGAGCAGCTGGTGGATTCAAACTGCCAACCTTTTGGTTAGCAGCTGAACTCTCAACCACTGTGCCACCAGGGCTCCCAAAAGGAGTTAAGGGAGTTTAAAACAAAGGGACCTAACCTAATCAGGGAAGATTTCTTGGAATTTAACTCCTGTTTTAAGTGAGACCTGAAGAAGGAGGAATGGTTTACTAGGCAGTGGGGAATTGGAGGCAGGTTCCAAATAGGAACAGCTTGTGTGAGGATGTCAGCGGGGGAGAGAGAGTGTCTGGTTCAAGGAGCTTAATGGAGAAGAGACAGAGGGAGAGTTGCTTCGGATGAACAAGTGTCTTCTGTAAAACAAGAACTTAGTCAAATTTCTAGAAGGATCTTTAGAAACCCGTTAAAGAGATCTTTTTCAAATTGATGATCAGATTTTTTTTGTCCTTGTGGTTCAGACATTCTTCCTCTCTATCAGCATTATTTTCTAGAGCTGAATTCCAAGTTCTGTTTTCCTACTAATCCTTTCAATTCCCCTCAAATCTATGTTCTTAGTTTCACTGACTTACTGCCCACAGGAAGAGCTTGAAATAACCTGTTGTGCATGTAAAAACCAATTTAGGTCAGCTTCCAGTGAGAGGTTGTTTTCACCAGCAAATGTGCCCCCTTTTCTTTTCCTCTGTTTCCCGTATTTAATGGCATAAAAGAAGGGTGATCACTGGCAGTGGTAATATATGATTCCCTCACCAAAAGGCTGGATTTAAAACAAAAACATAGTTTAAGTAGAATGGACAGAGGCCATGTAGTAGTTGAGCCGGCTTCTTGACCCTTTGACTCTGCTTCCGCTTTTGGATCAATGTGAGATACTCAGCTTTCAAACTGTAGTTCTCTTCGTTGACATGTTCTATCAAGAGTACCTGCTGAGCTGAAGCATTTTAGTAACTGAATTGACAGATTCAGAAATTCCTACATGTAGGTGCACACACACACACACACACACACACACACACACACACACACGGAACCCCAATGCTACTGAATTGGCTATCTCAAGCTTGCTGGGTTTTTATTCTTCAGTGAATTTGAATGTGGCCGTCTTCTGAAAGGGCTGCTGAGTATAGAGGCTCACCAGAGCTAGGTAGATCTATAATTCTCGCCTGCCACGTGGGAGGCCCGAGTTCAATTCCTGGCCAATGCAACGTTCTGTTTGGAGCCCTGGTGGTACAGTGTTTAAGAGCTAAGGCTACTAACCAAAAGGTCAGCAGATCAAGTCTACCAGCTGCTCCTTGGAAACCCTGTGGGGCAGTTCTGCTCTGTCCTATAGGGTCTCTGTGAGTCGGAATTCATTTGATGGCAATGGGTTTGGGTTTTATAATCAACTGTTTGGAAATTTTTGCCTTTGTATGCGGTATGACTGACTGCACAGAAGAAAGGAGAGTCAGCTGGCTGTGACTGATATTAAGAAACTTGAAATTTTAGTATGACTAATAAATCACAGTGTTGTTGGGTGACCTCTTTTGCCATTTCTCTTTAAAAATTAATGTCCAGGTCATTACATGATTTTTCTCAAGACATAGGAAGTGTGTGCTCCACTCTCAACATATGGGCATCAGAAGTCAAATGGTAAGATCCCTAGGAAAGGTGAAGGGGAACAAAATCACAGAGTTCTTGACGGGAACTTTAAATAGTAAAACATATTGAGTGCTGACTCTTTTCTACTTATCATAGGCTAGATTTCCATTCCAAATCAGTTAATAAATTAAGAAGTAGATATTGCTTAACCTTTGAGTTTAAAATGCAAGTTGCATTTGAAAAGGTGGAAAGATGGGGTGCTTTAGACTGTTTCCTGTGGTAAAATGGCTCTTGGTGTTTCTGAATTGTAGCTTTCATGTGAAATCAGATTTCTTAGGGTAAGAGTAAGAAATCACCAAGACTGAGATGGCCAGATTGCTTAGATAGGTGATTTTCCCCAAATCCCTAAAAATCACCGGAATTAATAACCTTTGGAATGTGATCTTCCCCATTGTTTTGTTTCAAGAAGGTGGACTGAAACCCAAATGGGATTTAAGGTGAGCACTTTAGAGTTGCACAACTCATGTGGTCCGTATGAAGAACACTTGCTCAAGAACAAATACAGAAGTCAAGCAACTGAGTGGAAACAAGACTCTTTTGTTTATTCAGCTACTATTAGGGACCTGTCACAAAATGACTTCAGGTTGCAAAAGGCCATCCCCTAAAGGTTGGTTCTTTTCTGCTCCTTTACCTGAAAATGAAAGAGATGTTTCCCCATCACACATTACTTCTCACTATTTACTTCGTACAGCATAACTTATTACTACACATAATAATTCAATTTGATTCGTAAACCTTTACTAATTTGATTAATAAACCTACATAGCTAGATAGATAGCTCCTGTTGAGTTGACTCTGACTCATGGAGACCTTATATAATATACAACAGAATGAAACGTTGCCCAGTCCTGTGCTGTCCTCATGTTGTTGGCATGTTCGAGTCCATCATTGCAGCTATTGTGCCAGTCCATCTCACTGAGGATCTCCCGTGCCCTCACTGTCCCTCTACTTCACCAAACATGATGCCCTCCTCCCGCAATTGATCCCTCCTGATGATGTGTCCAAAGAAAGTGAATTGGACAATGTTGTGATCCATAAGGTTTTGATTGGCTAATTTTCAGAAGTAGATCACCAGGCCTTTCTTCCTGGTCTGTCTTAGTCTAGAAGCTCTGCTGAAGCCTGTCCGCCATGGGTGACCCTATATGAAATACTGGTGGTATAGCTTCCAGCATCACAGCAACATGCAAGCCACTACAGTATGACCAACTGACAGGCGGGTGGTGGAATAAAGCTACATAGGGCCTCATATGAAAGGTACATGTTCATGAGGGGTAGAAACATGACTCAGACATGGTCCTTGACCCAGAAGAGTTTAAGAATGAAAACTTAAGCATTTAATTAATAAGAAGTACTAACAAGAAAGCATTTATTTAATAAGAAATACTAGAACAAGCAATATCATAGCTCAAATATCTAATGGTATTTTTTTTAATGCAGTAAAAGTTAATGTATCCCTTTTCTCAATATATATCCAAATAACCAGAGAGTAAATTCATCACCCTCTTTTCTGCACCCTCTTTCCTTTTTTATTCCCTTTTGTCTGATAC